GGGGGAGACACAGATCAGTTTCTTTTAATTTCCTTTTATTATATTCTCTGTTATACGTATTATAGTATAGACATGCTTACATGAATATATATATATATATATATATATACACATATATACATAAATACATTTAATATAACTAATTAAAATGTCATAGATCAAGGGATTTTTGCCTTCATCTAAAAGGGAATTAAAAGACTTCTAGAGAGCACTTCCAGAGTGTGATTTCAAGCATTAGGTTAAGTACTTTCACACATTTTATTTCATTTTGTCTGTGATTCTTTTCCTTTTCGCTTCCATATCCAGCATCAATAGGAGAGTTAAAAACCCACAATTCATCAACAATATGGCAGTGTTTGGATGAACTGAATAGAGGCATAAAGCTAAAAATGAGCCTTAGGTTTGCAGGAGCTAATCGAATTGAAGCAAAACCACGAGGATGAAAGTGCAAGGGTCAAACATGATTTCGTCATTAATTAGATGATGGACGTGACACATTTTCTCAAGTGGGCACTATGACTTTTATTCTGATTTTTATGTATATATTCAGTAATTCTTTTACTGAGTAGCTTATTTTAACCACATTTAGTTGATAATGTATTCCTTCCCAGATATGTGAGATATTTTTCCATAGATATCACAGATGAAATTTCTAATTGAGGCATGAAGATCCTCAAAAATCTATAATAGTAATTCAATTTCTATTTTCATACTCCAAATAAAGCAGTATTCAACCATATGGCATGTGGTTGAATACAGCTAGAATTCCAAGAAATAAATCTTTTTTGCTTGATTTCATTTATCAATTTAGTTCTGAAATGAGTCTTTAGTACTTGATCAAAGAATTCTTTAGCACATGTACCATATGTAGCATAGCATACTATGTGTGCATCATGTTAGAAAATTTGAGAGACTATGTATATACTTGAACCTTGAACTCAAGAATTAACAGGTAAATTGTAAGACAGGAAGTGTTCTAGAGCAACAAGTCCAATAGAAATATAATGCAAGACTCAAATGGCCACATATCTGATTTCAAATAGTTTAGAGGCTACATTTAAAGAAGTAAAAAGAAACAGGGTGAGATTCACTTCAATAATATATTATACTTAACCTCAAATTATCACTTCAACATGTAATCAATACAAAATTATTAATAAGATGCTTACTTTTTTAATACTATGTTTTCAAAACCTGATGTACATTTTATACTCTCAGTTAAGACTAGCCATATTTCAAGTGTTCAATAACCACATGGATTTACCATACTGGCCAGTGGCTACCATACTGCTGTGTGCAGATTTAAAGCATCCTAACTGGACAAGGATTCATGAGGAATTGAGATGGCAATTGGCCCTTAAAAGGATAAAATTTAGACGAGCCACAAGGAATGCATTTCTGTTAAATAGTCTATGCAAAGACTCAGAGGCTGAAATGTACATGTTAGAAATGTTGGAGGGAATGCTTAACTGACTGCAGGGGCAAACAGAGATAGGGCAGTTCAGAAAGAATGGTGCCAGGTGGTGGAAGACACAGAGAACCAGGGAGAGAAGTTTGAAGTGATGGTCAGTGAGATTCACTGTAGGTTTCTAAGGAAAAAAGGATATGATATAAGGATGAGACTTGGCATATAATAGCTTCTGTGGAATGATGAGTTAATAAATAAATGTTGCATTCAAAAGATTAGTCAAGCATTATTAAGTGGTACTTATTTGAAGCAGGAACAGCTAGAGGTAGAAAATCCAATTAGGTCAATCAAGCTGCAATCTAGTAATGAAATTCTAGATTTAGAGAGTAATCATGAACATAGAACGGGACCAGCAGTTAGCATAATGGCTATGTCGCTGGACTCCCACATAGTAGACTGCAGTTCGTGTCCTGGACCTGGTGACTTAAAACTCATGCCGGGCGCGTGTGCGTGCATGCCCAAGATCCCGAGAGGAGAATGGAGGAGAAAGGATTGCAATGTGGCCATCCATCCTGGGGGGTGATTTCCCACTTTCTGTCTCTCTGTCTCTTTCTGTCTTTCTGGTGAACTCACATGCCCCATACCAAAAACCTCTCCAAAGGAAAAAAAATGGACATAGAGAATAGAGAACAACATAACAAAAAGAAAACAATATGACTCAGAAGGAAGTCAGAGGGTGGCTCTGAAGTTAGGCCCTGCACAGAGGAAACCAAATCCACTTGGCTGACTGGGGTTGGAGTCCTAGCCCCACTGGCTTCATGCAGTGTGCCAACACACATACCCAAGGTGCTGATGAAATGGAGATTTGGAGGAAAGAGGATTGTAGCAAGACCAGGACCCACTGAAGGGTACTTTCTCTCTCTTGTGCCATGTGTATGTGTCCTCTGACATTAAAAAGAGACGGAGAGAGGGAGACCAGCAGTTAGCGTAATGGCTATGTCACTGGACTCCCATGTAACCGACCACGGTTCACGTCCAGGACCTGGTGGCTTAAAACTCACGTCGGCGCATGTGCGTGCATGCCCAAGATCCCGAGAGGAGACTGGAGGAGAAGGGATTGCAGCGTGGCTATCCCCACTGGGGAGTGATTTCTCGCTTTCTGTCTCTCTCTCTCTTTCTGTGTCTTTCTGGAGAGCGCACGCACCCTATAGCAAAAACCTCTCCAAAAAAAAAAAAAAAAAAGGGGGCTGAGGAAGACGAATCAGTTACTCCTTAAAAAGAAAAAAATTTAAAAAAAGAGAGACAGAGAGAGAGAGAAAGAAATTAAATACAGAGGACTAAAAGGACAGAGATTTATGTATTTCATTGTCTCTAAGTGGTCACTACTATTACTTTATGTATTTTTTAAAGGAAAACATGTTAATTAAACTAGAACACTTCAGTTCTTATTAGTGAGGATATTTTACTTTACTTATTGAAAGAGCTATTTTAAACTCAACTGAATATCCCATGTATATGTAAAAGGAAAGTACAAGTAAAACAAATTAGTATGGGTTTTCCTAAAACTTCTTCACATTTAGAACTTTTGAATCACTGTTGTTAATATTTGAGTTTTTCTGAAGAAAAACTTCCTCTGTGTCAAGAGTGTTATTTTTCTAATTGCAAGACGGTGCTTGTGCTTGCCAGAGAGACAGAGAGAGAGAAAATGGGATGGAGTGGGGAGGAAGCACCACCAGTGGTGTGTGGTCATGCTGAAACACCTTCTCCATTTCTCCATCTCACGGGGAATTGGGGCATGCATGCACATGGGGAGCAGGGTGTGAGCTGTGACTAGCCATGGAGGCTCCAGCTCCCTTAGCACCAGGCCACAGGGCAGTCCAGGAATATTATTTTTTAAAAGATTTATTTTTTAAAAGTTCTGTACTATTATTCTGATATACTCTTCTAAGCCACTTGTTCTAACACCATAAATTGATGCTGCACAAGAATGATGACCACATCGGGAACCAGCAGTTAGCGTAATGGCTATGTCGCTGGACTCCCACGTAGTCGACCGCGGTTCGTGTCCCGGACCCGGTGGCTTAAAACTCACGCCGGGCGCGTGTGCGTGCGTGCCCAAGATCCCGAGAGGAGAATGGAGGAGAAGGGATTGCGGCGTGACCATCCCCCCTGGGGGGTGATTTCTCGCTTTCTGTCTCTCTGTCTCTTTCTGTCTGTCTGGCGAGCGCACGCGCCCTACAGTGAAAATCTCTCAAAAAAAAAAAAAAAAAAGAATGATGACCACATCAAGACACCAAAGAGCTTGGTTGTGACACCAGACAAAGAGCCTGGAAAAGACTAAAGATTGTCAAGGACACTCAAGTTCAAAGACATTAAATGTGAAAACCATGATAAATACATCTTACAGTATTTAAGTCACAGTGTCTGTATTTAGCAATTGCTCAGCAAATGACAAGACTCCAAAAATCCCAGTGTGGAGGATAAAAGGATAGTAATATTCCTGGCAGGTGGAAAGAGGATCCAATTTTTTTTTTTTTTTGAGAGGTTTTCACTATAGGGCGTGTGCACTCGCCAGACAGACAGAGAGAGACAGAGAGACAGAAAGCAAGAAATCACTCCTCAGAGGGGATGGTCATGCCGCAATCCCTTCTCCTCCATTCTCCTCTCAGGATCTTGGGCATGCACGCACACGAACCCCGCGTGAGTTTAAGTCACCGCATCCGGGACGTGAACCGCGGTCAACTACGTGGGAGTCCAGAGACATAGCCATTACGCTAACTGCTGGTTCCCAAGAGGATCCAATTTTAACAGAAGGTAGCAAGTTTCATTTTGCACATGTTGAAATGAAAATGAAGGCAGATCAGCTAATGACGTATCAAGTGACTAGTAGGTATATATTTCCATATAGCTTTCAACTATCCTGACCTTCATTTTTTTCTTTTCTGATCTAAAATGTGACAAACTTGTATTTAAATATATTCCGTTGTATTTTTCATCTTTTGTTTTATGTGGGTTAGCCTTGACAGCTCATTATACTTTGGCTTCCTTAAGGGATAGGGTTGTATTTGGGCCTCCTTCCTACACCCTCCTCCCCACCTCTTGTGGCACAATCCTACCTACATTAGAGTTAGTTAACAAATATCAGGGCATTCTAAATGGACTGAAAATAAGACGATACTTTACTTAACAAGGAATGAATAGTGATTACTAACATTTATTGAGAGTTACATGCTAGCCATGGAGATAAACATTATCTACAACACGCTGATCATCAAGATAAAACAGTAGCTGTGCATGGTCTTGTTTCAACACCTCCATACCTACATGCTTTTTTTTTTGAGATTTTTTATTTTTTATTTATTTATTTTTTTGCTGTAGGGCGCATGCGCTCTCCAGAAAGAGAGAGACAGAGAGACAGAAAGCGAGAAATCACCCCCAAGGGGTGATGGCCATGCCACAATCCCTTCTCTTCCATTCTCCTCTCGGGATCTTGGGCACGCATGCACACTCGCCAGCATGAGTTTAAGACACCAGGTCCGCAACTCAAACCGCAGTTGACTACATGGGAGTCCAGCGACCTAGCCATTACACTAACTGCTGGTTCCAACACCTCCATGCTTTTGAAAGATGCATAAAATTAATTTTTATACTTGACTGACAGAAAACTTGAGGCTGTTACAAGGTGCACATTCAGGGAGGAGGAGCTGGCATTTAGCCTGGCTGTATGATTCTAGAACTTAGTTCTTACCCTTCGTACTACACTACATTTAAGGGATTACCGCCTCTATTCTTGTGATTATAGTAAACAAACCTCTCGATGTCTTGTGTCTTGATTTGGTGATTCACAAGTCTGACTTTGACTGTTGATAGGAGAACTTCTCTTGGCTGCAAAAATGGAAGAAATTAGAGCACAAATTTGATAAGATTATAAGGTCATTTTCTTTCTTCCTTCCTTCCTTCCTTCCTTCCTTCCTTCCTTCCTTCCTTCCTTCTTTCCTTCCTTCCTTCCTTCTCTCTCTCTCTCCCTTACTTCTCTCTCTCTCTCCCTTCCTTCTTTCCTTCCTTCCTTCCTTCCTCTCTCTCTCCCCCTCTCTCTCTCTCTCTCTTTCTTTCTTTCTTTCTTTTTCTTTCTTTTAAATGGTCAGAGAGTACCTGAGCTTGCCAGAGAAAGAAAGAGAAAGTGGGTATGGTCATGTTGCAATTCCCTCTCGTCCATCTCTTCATCCTATCAGAATGTAGGGCATACATGAACAGGCTTGCAGCTGACTGTGCGGGATCTGGCTCTCTTTAACCACTAAGCTACCAGGCTAGCCCAAGTTCATTTTATTTCATAAGTTCACTTTATTTTTAAATAGAAAACCATTTTCACAGATCATTACCACTTCAAAAGAAGACATTTCATAATGCATGCTTTAAGAGAAATCAAATAAGCAATTCAAAATTATTAGCGTTTTTAGGTTATCAATATAGATACCCATTTTTTTTTGACCCAGTAGGTTCAGGTGCTCAAAAATTGGCAACATTAAAAACAATAGTTGTCATCTACTTAGTGTTAAATACATGCTAATCCTCTTCTAAAATTTACATATACAACTAATTTTACCCATACAATAATAATATCATACTGTTATATCATTATCACTGTTTTACAACTGAAGATGTTAAGATTTACAGAGCTTAACTTGCCAAGGTCCTTTGGCTCTTACAATACAGTTCCAACAGGGGCTGATTCCAGAGTTATGCTTTAACTGCCACCATAATATGTGGTACTTAAAGATAGATCCAAATCAGTTATAGCTTGATCTGAGGATCAGGCACAGCAGAAATCTAAGATGGCGTGTATCATTTGAATTGTGAGTAAACTGGTGCAGAGAAGAAGGGTGATTTATCAATGTCATCATATACCATTGCTTTTTTTTCTGGGGATGTTAATCTGAGTCTAATTTTTCCTTCAGATGCTGGGCACCATTTCAAGTCTTCAGGCATTAGGCAGAGGGAAAAGAAACCCACTGTGAATATCATCCAGAAGCAAAGTATGGGGGGTGGTTCACAAATAGCCCAGATGCTTCCATGAAAAGACATGGTTGCTTAGTAATTTTTATATATTTATTAAATGATAGTTTATATATTAATCAGGGAGAGAGGGAGCCCTAAATTTGAAGTGACTTCCCCACTCATATAGAAAAGTGTTAGAAAAGACTTTAACACATTACAAATTTTAATTTTTTAATTCGTTTCTAAAAATAAGCTTTTTTCCATAATAATTGTGTTATATGTTAGCACATTTTATTCTCTTCTGTCTTCTGTGGGATTTAATCTACTTTCACTATATTAAAGTTTTTTTACCCTCCTTCTGAATGTTTGTCACTATAAGCCTCCTATCAAATATATGAATAATGTGACAGCCTTTGGTTTATACAATTAATATGTTTAGGAACATATTACATACCTTAGAAGGTTGTGTTAAGTTATGGAGGAAGTCTATGAAAATGTGCTTATAGTTTCCTTTCCTTTATAAAAACCTTTTGCAGGGACCAGCAGTTAGCGTAATGGCTATGTCGCTGGACCTGGTGGCTTAAACTCACGCTGGGCGTTTGTGCATGTGTGCCCAAGATCCCAAGAGGAGAATGGAGGAGAAGGGATTGCGGAGTGGCCATCCCCCCTGGGGGGTGATTTCTCACTTTCTATCTCTCTGTCTCTCTCAGTCTGTCTGGCGAGTGCAAGCGCCCTATAGCAAAAAATCCTCCCCCAAAATAAATAAATAAATAAATTTTTTAAAAATTAAAAAAATAAAAACCTTTTGCATACATAGTCCTCTGCAAAATCCTCATAAAGTAAGCAAACTATATACATATATATTTGTATGTATATATCTGTTTTTAAATATGTATGTGTAGAGAAATATATGTATATGTCTATATACTTCTGTAGATTTTCTGCATAATTTATCTCTTATAAAATTCTACTTGCGATACTAAAAATAAATTGAGAGTGGAAAGATGAAATTTAGTAAGCATTTACTATAAAATGGCAATTGTTGCACATTCTCATTTACTCCTTAGTTAGAAGGTCTTTGAGATTACATTATTAACTTTTTTAACAGAAATGAAAATGTTCAGGGAAGTTAAGTTACATATACAGTAAGAGAGAGATGTGGAGTGAAGCCTGAGCCTGCCATGACTTTTTTTTTTTTTAGTTTCATTACAAAACAGTTTTTATTTGAATAGCATTTGGCCTGTAATCACAGATCTTTTTCCTGCTGTTCTTAGCAATAGAACATGGGTTATTCTATTTTTTAAAAGATATTTTATTTTATTTTGTTATTATTATTTTTTACATCAATCCCTGTATATCATTACAGCATACAGAATGAATTTTCCTAGCATGAATACACTGTAAATTAGTCCAGTCAAATACATAACCATATACATTATCCTCAACGGATACTTGCCTGTTTTTGTATCCCTTAAATGTTTTGTGTCTTTCTTTTTCTCCCTGATGCCCTCTCTCTCACTCTCCTCCACTTCCCACCTTCCTCCTGCAGTGTCTCTAGTTTTAATACTTGTTCTCCATGCTTTGATGCTTTCCAATCTTTCAGTTTTTGCTATAGAGTGCAGACATGTGGTACGCATTGAGTGAGAACATACAATGCCTGTCTTTCATAGTCTGGCTTGCTTCACTTAGCAGTAAATCTTCCATATGCATCCACTTTCTATCAAATGTCAGGTCTCATTTTTTTTTAAGGCTGAGTAATATTCCATAGGGTATATGTGCCATCTTTTTCAATCTATTCATGTATTTTTCAATCTATCATACTGTATGTTTTCTATAATTTAACAATAGGATTATTTTATTATATAACTCCTGAGGTGAAATGCTTCGGTTACAATAAAATCTAAGAAGATATTGGTAAAGAGTCTACTCCATCTACCATGAATGACGATGTTACAACAATAATAATAATAATACCATCATGTGCCACATAACATTTCAGTCAACAACAGACCACATATTTGAAGGCAGTCCCATAAGATTATAGTAGGCGGGGCCAGCAGGTGGTGTCATGACTACGGTGCTGAACTCCCACATGACTGACACAGTGGATTGAAACTCAGGCCAGATGTGTGTGCATGTGTGCCCAAAATCCCAGAAGGGGAATGGAAGAGAAGGGACTACAGCATGGCCATTACCCATGGAGGGCAATTTCTCTCTTCCCCTCTCACTGTCTCTCTCCAGTGAGCACATGCACCCGGTGAAAAAATATATATGGTTGTAGTAGGCTATACTATGTAACCCAGGCGTGCAGTGGACTATAACACCTTTGTCTGTGTAAGTACACTCTAGGGTATTTACACAATGATGAAATCATATAAGAAGCCAGTTTTCAGGGCTCCATCATTAAGAGAAGCATGAATGACAGTGATAACAGCAATAGTTCCCTCCTACGTTCTCATGGTATGCCAGGAATTCTGCTGAACAGCTTCACAGATATTAACTTATTTATTCCTCATAACAATCCTGTACAGTACATAACTAAGATATAATCAATACTATATCTCAACTCCAATCTTAGAGAAAACTGATGCATGAGACGTTTAAATGACTTAGCCCAACTCTCATAACAGAAAGGCATGTACGGCTGGCTCAGATTTTCTCCTCATGACTAAGCTCTGTACCTGGACACCTAGATAACTCCTCGGAGAGTTTAGCTGCATCTTGACGTCTTATGGACAGATCACGTCATCATCCTTACTCCTGTGCGTAAGGAAATCGGCTAATACTGACCCATGGATGTGTAAGCCACAAACCTGTAATGATGTTCCTGATGGGCTTCACCAGAGCTGTGAAACCAGAGACTTCAGGCTGCCTGTGCTCCCACATCGGCTGCCATATAACAAGCCCACTGGCAAGTCGGAAGGTGAGGTCCGATTCCTGGGGAAAGAGAAGATCTATGTCAGGTATGGCCCATAAGAACTGGCTAAAAGGACCAGTAGAAACAAGGATTGCCATCATTCACGAGGTAATATTCAGAGTAGGTGGATCTGCCTAATCTCTCTCATCCCTCAGATGAGTGTTCGTACCATAAACTAACAACTCGAAGTTATTGTTTTTATAATAAACCAGTGAACCCAGTTATCATTGTAATTACTACCAAAATCACGATTTGCTTTATGCAAAATTAATAACTAACCCAAATTTAGTTTTGTGAAACACACAAATTATTGTTTTGTGCTTGCAGAGATCGTGAATGTTTTCTTTCAAGAGTCTTGGCAGCTCTCTTTACTGTGGTTGCCATTTTCATTCCCCTTAATTATTTAATTATCCCTATTTCTCCCTTATAAGGCAATATTCTTAGATCTGGATATTCTAACATTTTATTCTCCAGTTCTTTTATTTGAATTTCATGAAATTGCATACATGTCATTTTGATCCTTCATAATGCATTTTGTAACGTCGTTTTCTCAACTACTTTAATTCCTTGAGGACTGGGATAGATCAAGCATCCTGTTTTCCCCCAGCACCCAGGATCATCACAGCACTTAATGCAGTACTAAGAATGGGACCAACAGATGACAAAATGGTTACATTGCTCACTGGACTCCCACGCAGTTGGCCACAGTTCTAGTCCTGGATCCAGTGATTTAAAACCCATGCCAGATGTGTGTGCATGCATGCCCAAAATCCCAAGAGGAAAATGGAGAAGGAATTTTGATGTGTCCATCCCCTCCTGGGGGATGATTTCTCGCTTTCTGTCTCTCTGTCTGTCTGGCAAGCATACATGCCCTATAGCAAAAATCTCTCTTAAAAAAAAAAAAAAAGGAATGGGATGCACAACAGACAATCAATACTTTCTGAATTGGACTGACTTTACAACCCATGCTCACAAAATTTGCCTATAATTGTAGGTCTCTTCCAGGAGCACATTTTTCTATCATATCATATCATCTTGAGAGATTGGGATGTTTAAATTGCAATCTCATATTGTCTAAGCCCAAATATATGGCAAACTGAAATTTTGCAGTCTGAGTAGTAGCTTGCTTTTTACTTTCTCTTCCTCTCTCTCTGTTTGTTTCTGGTCAAATATAATAATAATAATAATAATAATAATAATAATGGTGAATAAAATGAAATAAAAAGAATTCTAAAAAAACCCCACTCAGTCTCTGTAAACAATGTTAAGATGGAAGCTGAGAATGTGATCATAGATTAATAAACACATCTGAGACTCAGAAACTCACTTAAGGTAGTGGCTTACAACTGTGACTTTCATATTTTAATGATCTGGGAGGCTTTTAGAACATTGGAGATCCAGTCTCAAGTCCTCCCCCTACCCAGATCAATTAACTTCAGACCTCTGTGAGGTTTTCTAAAGTTTCTCCTGGTAACTCTCAAGTGTAGCCATAGTTGAAAACCTGAGTTAGAAGGAAAAGAGCTAGGAAGACATTGGAAACACAGAAAAGAAAAGAAATTTTGCAAATGGCTGAGCAATGTATCTAAAAGTCAAGAAATCTTCATCTGAGAAGTTGATGGAATCCCTGAGTAAATTCACACATCGGCACAGAGAGGGCTCTTCTGTAAAGCTAAAGACTAGACTGGGATCTTGGCACTACTTAACAAAGTATCCACAACAGTGTTTACTTGGAAAGGGCTTTAAGATTCTCTGTGGAGGGACCAGCAGTTAGCGTAATGGCTATGTCACTGGGCTCCCACATAGTCGACTGCGGTTCGCATCCCGGACCCGGTGGCTTAAAAAACTCACACCGGACTTGTGTGCGTGTGTGCCCAAGATCCTAAGAGGAGTACGGAGGAGAAGGGATTGCGGCGTGTCCACCCCCCCCGGGGGTTGATTTCTCGCTTTCTGTCTGTCTCCCTCTGTCTGGCGAGCGCATGCGCCCTATAGAAAACCTTTAAAAAAAAAAAAAAAGATTCTCTGTGGAAGTACTAGGAATGCACATAAAGTATTTAGCGTAATTCATTCAACATTTATTCTACATTTATAGGGAACCTACTTTGTGCCTGGTACTATTCTGGGTTCTTAAACACAACAGTGAACAAAGCACACAAAAGTTCCTGCTCATAGTGAAAGGGAGTAGGAAAGTGGGTAAAAGGACATGAAGGCAAGGTATTGACATTTTAGACAGAAAGACCAAGGAAGGGTTTGTTCAGAAGGTGGCTTTGGAGTAAAGATCTGAATGAAATGAAAGCACTATCATGTAGATCTCACCAGGAAAGGTGTCATGAAGGAGGATCAATAAGTGCAAAGCTCTGTGTATGCCTAGTGTGTTGAAAGAGCCAGGAGATTGTGCCTGTGGCCAAGTAAGTGAGGGAAGAGTCGAGGAAAATAAGATAGAATACCAGATAACAGACTGCCTGACAGATGCCTGTGAGACATTTCAATCAGAGATCCTGAATAAGCATGTAGGCCGACTGGTTTACAGTTAAGAGGGGAGTAAGCTGAATTCCTTGAAATGGACAATGGGGATGTCTGCATGGTATTACACATGGTATTAGATGCAGCAAGCAGAGAATTAATACTAAGCAAAGCTTATCAGATTTCTCTCAAGAAATGCAGGAAGCCAAACCTCACTTGACCTGATTTCAATGATTTTTTTACTCTCGGAGCTCAGTTCTTTTCCATCTTTCTCATAAAAATCTTGATATAAGTAAAGCTTGGATGGAAATTACAATAGGACTTGAGTTCTCTTGCATAAAACTCTGGCAGTTAGTGTCATTATTTTTTTCATATGGTACATCCCCAACTACATTGTATATTTCCTGAAAATGAATTGAGATCTCTTTTTTCTGTGCATTCCTTCTTGAGTATCAATACATAATTGTTAATTAATTAAGCATATTTTACTTTCTTTGGATAACACCAGCTAAATCCAATCAATCTCCAGACCATGAAGCAATTCTAAATGCATTTACTAGTAGCTTAGAGAGATTGAATTAAACAACTATTATTTTAAGTTTCTTTTTTTTCAATTTGTTTACTTCACATGTATGGATTTGTTAAAATACCCTTGAGAGCTTGCATTTTGTTTTATTTCCCACTATGCCACCAATACTTTGATTAGTGCTTAGCATACAGGATTCACTGAAGGAATAAGTAAATCTGATAAAGTAATGACAACATTGATACCCATTTAAAGAGGATTCCTAGTTTAAAAAGTACTCATCATTTTTTTTTTTTTGAGAGGTTTTTGCCATAGGGCGTGTGCGCTCACCAGACAGACAGAGAGAGACAGAGAGACAGAAAGCGAGAAATCACCCCCCAGGGGGTATGGCCACGCTGCAATCCCTTCTCCTCCGTTCTCCTCTTGGGATCTTGGGCACACACGCACATGCACCCAGCGTGAGTTTTAAGACACTGGGTCCAGGAAGCGAACCGCGGTTGACTACATGGGAGTCCAGTGACACAGCCATTACGCTAACTGCTGGTCCCAGTACTCATCATTTTTTACTAATAAAATTAAATCCAGTTTAAAATTAGTAATGTATTTGACAGCATTTTCAGATTATTAATGTTATTAAAATATTTGAGCCTAATACAAATTAAAAGCATAGACAATATGCATTGACTAATACATGGTCTAATGAAAGGATGAGTCACTTAGATTTATTTACTAATTAGTGAGCTAATTCATTTAATAAATATTAATTAAGCACTTAATAAACATAGATACCGTGTCAGCTACCATGGGTATAATGATAATTTCTACCCTCAAACCATTCAGAATCTAGTGGGAGAGACAGGCACATTAAGAGATGATAAAGAGTGAAGTATAACAATAAAAATGTGCATACAGTATTATGGAAATAGAGGAGGAGGGAGGATAGATCTTGAATAAGTATTAAAGGATAAACAGGAGTTTTCTAGACAGAAAGGTACTATATGTGGGCATTCTAGGCAGAGGACCAGCACGAGGAAAGCTTGGAAAAAATCACGTTATCTTCTTGAAGATACTCTAAGCATCTGAAGCTCATGGACAGTAGAAGTAGTCAAATAGGTCATAGGGGGGCTGGTATACCAGATTAAGGAACTGGAATTTACTCTGTATGACAAGAAGTCAACAAACTATTTTAAGCATGTTGATAACATGGTCAGATCTACATTTTAGATAGATCACTTTGGAGTTGAGGTTGGGTTTTATGAGCAAGCCAGGAGACTGTGAGTCAGATTAGAAAATGGTCCAAGTAAGAAATGAGAAAAGCTTGGGCTAAGGTAGTAGAGATGGAGATAAGGAAGATGTGATAATTTTAAGATATATTCAGGAGACAAAATGAGTAGGACTCTGTGATGAAAGGAGTGATCAAATAAAGATAAGGGAGTAGTTAGAGGTAGTTTGAGTTTGTAAGAACGAGGATATTATCTAAAATACTGAATAAAGAGAAAGGGCTCACTTCAGGGGAGGTTGAATGGGTCCATGGATCATCTATTTAGAGAAGTCAGTTGACAGTTTGGTCTTGAGGCCAAGAAAGGAGTTTGACTGGACATGTATAATTATGTAATCTCAGCCTATAGGAAGCTGGGAAGTGGTCTTCGAAGTAGAAGATAGAGTAAGAAGAGCAAAGTCTTCATGATACCTCCCTGGGGAATCCCCGTAATCAAGGGACAGGCAAAGAAGATAAGCCTTCAACAGAAGAAATAGCTTACAAGGAGAACCAGTGGAGGATGGTATCATCAGGAGAGCAGAAAGTTTCAAGACGGCATGAAGATGGTTTCAAATACACCTGAGGTTTAATAAATTGAGGACTAGGGCTAGCAGGGAGTGTGGTGATTAAGGTGCTGGACTTCCACATGGCCAACTGTAGTTGAAGTCTTGGACCTGGTGGCTTAAAAGTCACACTAGGCACATGTGTGCACATGCCCAAAATCCCAAGAGGAGAATGGGGTAGAAGGAATTGTATCATGGCCATCCCTCTTGGAG